GCAGAAACAATGTGGGGGAAAAGTGTACCTTAACATTCGTATAGGTACTGCATAGAGGAAGTGGCATGGCCCCATTATTTCTGGAGCTTTTCCTCTAAGGTTCTAAGTAAGGAAAAAATGGCTATCAAAGCTTAAAACTGTGCTGAGTCTTCAATATATTAATAGATTAATTAAAAGACTTTTAAAAATTAAAACTTGTGAGAGGAGGAGCCTGTGTGTCTCAGACTTTTATAGCTAATGCTAATAACATCTGTTTTGAATGATAAGCATGCATTTCAGAGCACCAAATAATTTGGCAATGAGGAAAAGATTAAGGGAATAGAAAGAAGGAACAAAAAAGAGGCAGATTTGGAAAAGTTATACCTTAACATCTCTTTGGTGTCATTGATTACGACAAAGAAACATCCTGTAGTCATCAAGATAGAGATAATTCAATCACTAGGTCAGCTTGCCTCCTGCCTTAGACTTTTCTAGATATTTCAATTCTTCTCTTTTTTGCTAGAGAAAAGAACATTTATTTTTTAATTGGGAGACATTTTTCAAAATCTTTGTAGTGTTCAATCCCCTTTTCAAGCCAGTCTTCATGAAGAAATGAAAAATTTTATTCCTGTTTCTAGCACTGACCTTAAATTGGCTTCAACGTAAGTGCCTCTTCCCTGTTATTTTAACACTCATATTATCTTACCATATTGCCTTGACCCAGCTAAACAAGCTAACGTACAGAATGGAGGTGTATGGACTGGTGATTTCCCCCTGCTGTGTCCTTGCCAATTAGGAGTAATTTACAAATGAAAGTGTCTAAATGCTCTTCATTTTCCATCATGACAATTTGTCCAATTCTCCTGTGAGGGAAAAAAATATAGTCTTACAGCCACAATGACAATGACAGAAGGCTTCACTAAGCAACTCTCAGAAAGTCCATTTCATTTGGAGCTTCTTGCGTGGGTTTGCACAGCAAGCTGTATAGACATATGTTTCAGAGTAATACACCCTAGGACAAAAAATTATGAGGGCTGCTCCAGCAGTTTACACAATCTGCACACCATACATAGGACATTATATAGTGTGCAAAACAAGTTTGGACAGGTTAAGAAAAAAAAAGGGGGGGGGAAGCAAAAATCCTCCTACTCACAGGCAGAAGAAAAAGGAAGAACTGAAAAGAAATGTCTAGGAAAACTGGAGTGGGAGGTAGGAATCTGCCTGCATAGCAGGCAGATGGTTCACAAAACAATTTTCCATTTGCATTAGACTGGCAAACTTAGGACCTATCTTTTGAACAGTAATGAGCATGGGCAGCCTTGTACATGCACATTGTTCTGAGCGTTTGGGGCTTCAAATACTTTACCATGCTGCATAACATCTTATCCCACACACATCTTAAACGATGACAAAGGTTGTATTCATCACGATATCATGGTTCATTAAGAAAGTCAAAGTAAGGAAGGAACTAACAAGGGCAGTAATAAATAATTAATAAAATATTAAATATGTCAATTGCCTAAGCAGCTCCAGGGAGAACAAAGGACATTTGAATCCAGTCACTGTGCACCAGATTCACCCAGGTGGATTTCAGATGATGAAACCAAGCCAGTGAGTGTGTGGGTGCAGGTGACAGATGCTTTCCTGACGAATCACACTGGGGTCTAATCCAGAGCAGGACTTAAACATGGTGGATGAGCTAGGCCATGATGCATCCAGTTTCCACTTGGGCTTCAACCTGTCCTCTCTGTGCTGAGGGGATGGGAATGAAATGCCTGTGATGGGTGTGGCTGATCTATAGACCATGACAGGCTGCAATGTGATAAAGTGACAGCTGATCACAAGCTGTGGTTAGCTTGTTTTATACAACAGTAGCACAGATGTAGCAACATGACATCCATCATGTCCACCAAGAGGACCGGGCAAACAGAAATATCATGAAATCCAGCATGAGGCATCACAAAGTTCTGCACATCAGGTGCAAGAACCTCGAGGTACAAGCTGAAGTGGTACCACTGAAGTGACGGGCTAGAAATCTTGATAAGGAGACCTGTCTGAAATGAACACCAGGGTGAATACAAGCCAACAATGCCTTCTCATTGCAAATATGGCAAATCACGTACTAGGGAACATTCAGTGAAGCATTATTGGAAAGTTCAGAGATACTATTATTCTCTACTATACACATCTGGAAATCTGTGTGTGTTTTTGTGCCCCTCAGTTCAAGCAGGACATAGAGAAGCCAGAGAGGGTCTGCTGGCAGGACATCAAATGGACAATGGTCTAAAGCACAGTGCTGGTGAAGAGATGCTGAGGGATCGGGGCATTACTCTTGCAAAGAAAAGGTTAAAGGGTGATTTAATAGCACTTGAATCTATCTGAAGAGCAATTAAAAAAATGACAGAGCCAATGTCTTCTCAGTACAGCCAAATGGTGGTTTTGAAAAAGTTTTAAAAGCAGCTATTATCCTTTCCAAAGCATTTTCGTGAAGAGTTATCTTTATTAATTCAAGCTGAAAATCCAGTCAATCCATTTTAACCTTCTGCACTTTTCCTAATTGGGAACTCCAGAGGAAATCTGCTTATTAGATGTTATTCCTTTTCTCCTTTATTTGGACAAAGCTATACAGAGTATTTCAAGTATATGACATCCTTGTCTCTAAATTGGAGCGACATCAATTTGATGGATGGACCACCCAGTGGACAAAGAACTGGCTGGATGGCCGCACACAAAGAGTTGTGGTCAATGGCTCAATATCTGGCTGGAGCCCAGTAACGAGTGGCATCCCTCAGGGATCGGTGTTGAGACCGGTCTTGTTTAACATCTTCGTTGCTGACATGGACAGTGGGATTGAGTGAGCCCTCAGCAAGTTTGCCAATGACACCAAGCTGTGTGGTTCTGTTGATACCCTGGAGGGAAGGAATGCCATCCAGAGGGACCTTGACACGCTTGTGAGGTGGGCTGGTGCCAACCTTATGAAGTTTCACCATGCCAAGTGCAAGGTCCTACACCTGGGTTGGAGCAATCCCAGGCACAGCTACAGGTTGGGCAGAGAAGAGATTCAGAGCAGCCCTGCGGAGAAGGACTTGGGGGTGTTGGTTGATGAGAAAATTAACATGGGCCGGCAGTGTGCGCTCGCAGCCCAGAAAGCCAACTGTATCCTGGGCTGCATCAAAAGGAGCGTGACCAGCAGGTCGAAGGAGGTGATCCTGCCCCTCTACTCTGCCCTTGTGAGACCTCACTTGGAGTATTGTGTGCAGTTCTGGTGTCCTCAACATAAAAAGGACATGGAACTGTTGGAACAAGTCCAGAGAAGGGCCAGGAGGATGATCAGGGGACTGGAGCACCTCCTGTATGAAGACAGGCTGAGGAAGTTGGGGCTGTTCAGCCTGGAGAAGAGAAGGCTGTGTGGAGACCTCATAGCAGCCTTCCAGTATCTGAAGGGGGCCTACAAGGATGCTGGAGAGAGACTCCTCATTAGGGACTGTGGTGACAGGACAAGGGGTAACAGGTTAAAACTTAAACAGGGGAAGTTTAGATTGGATATAAGGAGGAAATTCTTTCCTGTGAGGGTGGTGAGGCACTGGAATGGGTTGCCCAGGGAGGCTGTGAATGCTCCATCCCGGGCAGTGTTCAAGACCAGGTTGGACAAGGCCTTGGGTGATATGATTTAGCGTAAGGTGTCCCTGCCCATGGCAGGGGGTTTGGAACTAGATGATCTTAAGGTCCTTTCCAACCCTAACTATTCTATGATTCTATACTGCTATGAAAGTAGGGGTGTTGGTGGAACAAAAGTATCAGATTTTACACTTAAAAAAAAAAAAAGTATTTATAAAATGAAGGAAGCAAAAAGAAATAATTATAACTGGCCAAAAAAACTTCTGCAAGTTTCATAGTTTTTTCTTTTTAACAAGTAGGGGCGATATTTTTTTCTACTAATGCAAAGATTTTGAAATTTAATTTTGGAAGTTGATTGAAATTTCCTGATGTTTTATTTTCCTTTGCTGAACTGAACCTTTCAAGTCACTGTGGCATTAATTTCTACTTGCTAGAACTGTCAGTATGCTTAGTATGAAATATAGTTCAGGAAAGTTGTATGTCCTTTCTTTACAATTTAAGCTTCCCAGCAGATGGACTAATCATAAAAATCTCCCAATGTGTCACATCAGTTCAATGCACTGACCAACAATAGCATAATGTGAAGGATGCAGTTCAGCTCTCAGAGGAAGGTGAAGGCTGCAGCCATTGAAGAAGTATCTCTCATAAGGCAGCATGGCAGATTTGGTGAACAAACATAGCTGTCAAAGTGGCAGGAAAAGGTGTGATTTAAATGAGCAAGCAAACAAAAAGTATTACAGAATTAAATGAAGTATTTTAACGAAAATTTTCTTGATGTAACAGAAAAAATTCCTCAAAATATAAACTGAAAGGAGGCAAGGAATATGAAAATACAAAACAAAAAAAAAAATCAGTTGGAGAGAGTGTTTTCCATTAAAAGAAAAGCAATTCATTTTTCTCACAGGCTGCAACTCTATAGAGTTGCATTTCACAACAGCAAGGGCACATTTTCTCAAAGCCTTGAGGGCACCAGGGGCCCTGGCTGCATCTTGGCATCTCCTTCGGGCTTCTCCATGTGCCCATGATGCAGGGCCTTATATGAGCTCCCTGAGGCTATCAGTTCCTGCCCCAGCAATGCCACAGCCTGCTTCACCCCTGCCCCACCCCTGTGCCTTGGCACCACTTCATGGCCTTGTCACCAGCCCTGTTCTCGACCCATCTCCTTCAGCTCCTGACTGCACCCCTGGGTGGTTCCTGACTCTGTCTCAGTCCCTCGCCCTGTTGGGGGCTGTCAGTGGACCCTGCCACCCCTGGCAATGGGTGACAGCCCCACTGGTGAGGCCATGGCTGTCACAGGGCCCACCAGGGGGCATCTCTGCTCTCTGCCACGTTGCCTGCAGCGCTGTGACAGTGGGTTGAGCTTGGCACCAGGCACCAACAAGCTCACCCGTGCAGTTATCAACTGGGATAAAATAACCCCACGCCTCCCATTGTGCCCAGTGTCACATCCTGGCAAGGTGGCGTGGCCATCTTCTGCCAAGACATGAAGCGGCAGCGCCCATCCAGCTTTTAGGGTTGGGACAACATGAAGTTTGCTCCTCTGTGCGTGTCACCGGCTGCGCCTGCCTTCCTCCTGCAGGACTGGTTAAATATTAACACCGTGCCAGGCGTATTTGGGCGGGAAGAAGGGAGAGGCAATCCTTCCTTCACGGCGCCATGGGGACAATGTCAGGGCAGGCGTGTGCCCTGTGGCCCCGTAGCTGAGAGGCGGCAGAGGCCGGTGCTCCCACCCTGTGGAGCCTTGGGCAGCTGCACGCCGCCTCAGGGAGGGCTTCCCTGGGGCCAGGAGGCGAGGGCTGGCCCCGGTCTGCTCCCTTGGAATAGCACCAGCCTCCTCCTGCGTCCCCAGGGAGGACGGTGAGAGCGGGCCGTCGTCAAAGGGAAAGCTGTGGGAGACACCCTCTCGGCGCTCAGGGAAGTGATCCAGGTAACCCTGATGCAGGTAAACCCTCTAGAGCTTTTATTTGCTTCCCAGCACAAGGAGCTGTCAGCTGAGAGATAATTTAAACCTCTCCTCTGCTTCTGCCTCAGCAGGGAAGCCTGCCCTGAGCTGGTAACAGTAGAGTGAGCTAAGGTATTTTGTGACCCTCATCTCTTGCTGTGCTCCCCAGCCTTCAGGGCAGGTGTCCCCCACATCGCTTTGTGTCACGCAAAGCATTCGAGCCCCAGTCTGTGCTGGGCTGGATCCAGCTGCTGCTCCTTTAGGGTGATATTATCAGTATTATCCCCTTGCCTCTGACATGGATGCAGGAGGGAGTAGGCTAAAAGCCGTGCCTGGCAGTGCTGGTAATGCGTCACCACAGGCACCTGCGGAGAAGGTGAAAAGCAGCTCAGGCCAAGGTATTTATTTCATCACTGTCCAAAATATCCTATTTCATTTGTGGAATGGGTAGTATTTCTGGGCCCTTTAAAAGTCCATTTTGAAACAAAGTAAAACAAGGTGTTGTAAATCCTTTCCCTCTCATTTTACTTCACCACAGGCTGTTTACTGATTTTGGCATGAATTTGGGTATAAGATCCTAGCAAGTTCCCTTCTCCATAAAGGGACACATGTGCCCTTCTCCATAAAACTTCACTCACTTCAGCTTGTGTTGGTGCAGCCAGATTAGTAAGCGGAGGTATGAAGGCTGCTGCCCTGCTTGATGGAGCTCTCTCCAGGCCTGTAGACACTGCCTGGGAACACAGATTCCTGGAAAAATACATGGGCTTGCCTTTTGGATTTGTTTTCTGGTGCTTTAGCTGTCTCATTTCATATGACAGATAATACTAACTCTTAAAGAATCTACTGACTGATTTGTGTATGTGCTGAGAGCTATCACAGTGATAGAGCAACGAGAAATCTCTCTGACCTGTGCATGGTGACCCTCCTGTCCTGGCTGCCTGCTGGGGACTCCTATGCACATGAAACATGGAAGTGAGAACAAATCAAAACCTTTCACAATGCACAGGGCAAACCCAAACCAGCCTACAAACTACCCCCCTCCCCACACTCAAGTGAAGAAATCAGCCCACGGGATCAGCTTAAAGTGTTAGTAAGTTGACAGGGCTGTCCCTTAAGCTCGCAAGGTAAACTGAAAGCTTGCAAAACAGGAAACCATAGAGGAAGCTGCCAGCCAAGCCAGTCAGGTGGCAACTGCTGCACTAAACACAGCAAGACCCCCTGCTTAAAGCACTGAGCAGTGAACAGAGCTCCTGTATAGCTTGATGCTGCCACTGAACATGTTTGGAAAACCATCAAAAATGGGTTTTGTTGGTTGCAGTGGGCAGCAGGCAGGGAAGGTCTGGCAGCGGGGAATTCCTTCCACATGGGCACCCTGTGAGAGGCCTGCCATACACTCGTGTGCCATCCCACCAGCACTGCCTTCACAGAAGCCCTGCTGGGAAATAATGCAGGGTTTTCACACAAAACTGTGCAATTAACTCCTTGCTTAAGGGCAGCAAAACCGCTGGGCCAGAGCTTTTGTGTTTTGTGCCTTACTGTGGTTTTGGTTTTAGCAAAAGGGCGTTTAAAAAAGTATGCTTGTTACAGGAAACTCAGGGTATCTCTATGGTGGCACTCATATTTATGCATTGTACAGCACTGCCACAGAGAAAACCTCTGAAATCAAAAAAACACTTTCCTGGCAAGAAATTTGGGCTGGCCACAAAATCACATCTTCTGGCCTGTGTCCCTTTCATAAAGACAATCTTCAACTTCCCAGCCGAGAAGTTTGTAAACCAAGCAGCGCGGTCAGACTCTCTCCCACATGTTTTGAGGGAGAGGAGAACAGTATCACACAAGTGAATTACAAACACTGAAAAAGCAGAAAATGCAGAAGCAAGGTGATGGTTCCCACCCAGGCTCTGTATCTTATCTCTGACCACAGTGAAGGTCTGGTAGTATTTTGGTTTGGGGGGTAAGAGGCACTCTCACATGTTCAGAGAAATAATTATGGAGATCTTTTTTGCACTACCAGCCTTTCTGAGTACTCAGTCTGGGGAGCTGGAAGGAGATTTGGTGTTTCTCATCTTTGCCCCAAGGCAGGAGGGATGGAGAGACCAGGATGGCAGGAGCTGTTTCTCTCAGCTGAATGGCCCCTTGCATGATGAAAGCATGAAGGGACTGCCACAGCAATGATGGTACCAGGATCTCCCTGGAAATGTATGAATAGCAATCCTAGTTTTGGAGTAAAGCACACAGAAAAACCCCAAAGAAAACTTTCTGGGTGTATCGGTGCATTGGGGTATATTCTCTTTTCCTTCCCTGAAGGCTACCTAGCACAGGTGGCATCAGTTTCCCGTGGAGTGGGAATAGCCCTTTTGAACAGAGTTCTGTGCCCTCTGACCCCAGGGGAGCGGCTGGCACCCTACACAGTTGCCCTGCATGACAGTAAGTGACGGAGCACAGGATTCATGAGTCTGCCAGAATGCCACCGGCGGCACAGATGGTGCACCCACAATGCACACAAAATTGCGGGCAGCTTAGACAATTATTTTTGCCAGCTGCTCGTGATTAACTTTAATGATGCAGATGGAGCTCCCATGGCACAGTCAATCCTGAAGCAATAGTATTGTAATAGTGAGGAGGGACTAAGGGCATGAGAGATGCAAGATCTGTAGGAGGAGGTTTCTCTGCTGAAGGAAGCTCCTCTACTTCTTTTTAAACGGTTGTTTTGAGAAAAAACACTGCTTTTCTTCCAAACCCTCTCTCATTTAATCTTCTCTACTTGTTGGTAATACAGGTCACATAAAGTCACATTTTATCACAGGACACAAAAGCAGCAGCTCATTACCAAGCTGCTTCTCAAGTACTCGGTGACTGCTGGTGGCTTTCTGCCTTAAGCACCAGAAGAGAATGCTCCAATGGAAAGGTTCCAGAAATTCATCTTACTTCCTCTCATCTTAACTGCCTCACTACCAGGTAGGACACATTCATAACCCAAGAAATGAGCCACCATGGACAAAATGTATGAACTAATTTTAAAAGGGTGTAAACAGGAGTTACTGATGATATCAGATTGAGTAGTTGGCCCCAGAGGGGGATTATTTTGACTGCTTGAAATGATTAATTTATGCTTCAAGCATGAATGATGTGATGTCTTAGAATGAGCTTCATTGTGCAGGAATGAGGAGCGTATGGGGTGGTGAGGAGATGGGGAAGCTGTCCTCTCTCACTTTCAGTGGGCTGGGATGTTCCACTTATTTCTCCTTCTCCTTGCATTCATCTTCCACCTGTCTGTTTAGGACTGCTTTTGAGGGGCATCTGTAGAGAAGTCCTGATTTTGCTTCCAGAAATATGTGCAAGTTATAATTTTGCTGGTTTGCCTCCAGTTTACATTTTATATGATTGAATTTCAAAATGAATTTAGATAAAAGGTATCTTTGTGGTAGAGCTCTAAAGAAACTGTGAATATAAAGTGACGGGTAACGGAGACAAGGCTGATTTTTCTTTTTAATTATTGTCTAGCTGGGGTTTTAACAGGCTCTGAAAGGAGTGATCTGCAATGGGATGAGAGGGAAGGTATTGTCATAGCTTAATAATTGATGAAAGGAAACACAGTGCAGGAATAAACGTTGACTCTTCTGAGCAGAGTGGTGTTCCCAGAGGAGTTGCACAGGGATGTGTGGTATTCAATAAGATCTTAAACAACCTAGTGAAGGGGAGTGAACTGTGAGGTAGCAGGCTTTGCAGGTGGTACAGAATTACTTAGGGGCAGCCAAATCCAAAAAGAGACTAGGAACATTTTCCAGAAAATGTCATGATGCCAAGTGAATAAGTAATAAGGAGCAGCAAACACTGAATGCAAAGCATCACTTAAGTGAAGATATCTAGTGGGGGGAAAAGGTAGATACCTTGGAAAGACAGTATATTTCTAAAAAAGCAAGAAAATTTCACCATGTAGTTTTGTCAGTAAGGGAAATACAATAAAACCTGGTGTTATATAAATTCACAGAAATCTTATCTTTTTCAAAGGCTAACAAAACTGGATGTCTTGTTAGCCTTTAAAAGATATAAGTTTTAGACAGATGTTTTGTTAGCCATTCCATTTCAGAAAGGGCATATTAGGTCTGGGAAATGTATGGAATGGGACAGAGGTAATCAAAGGTATGAGGAGGCCTTCATTAGGATGTCATATTATTCTGCTTATGAAAAAGAAGAAATAGTTAAAATTTAATAAGATAATTAATTACATGTAAGTGAAATGTGAAATGGTTATTCACAGTTTCTCATGACAAAAAGAAACAATGGCAACCAGTAAAATTACCAGAAAGAAGATTTAAGGCAAACCAAAAATGTAGTTTTCCTCACAGTGTGTAAATAGTAAAGCTTGTAGTCACTGGATACGGGGTCTACCAAACTTTAAATAGGCTGGAAAAATACAGAAACAAATATCATGGGGGGTATGTAGGTGCAGATGCAATCATTGGCTCAGGAAGTCCCTAGATCTTGCACACTGAGAAGTCATAACAAGGAAGCTGCAGTTTTTATTTGTTCTGTTTCTTGCACTGTCTTCCTAAGCATCCAGAGCAGAGTACTACAAGTTTTAGAGGACTTCTGTTAGCCTTCACTAATGCTTTTAGTCAGGCGCACATGCCATGGATGTTTTATTGCCCCACCTGAAAGACATATTGGGGTGGCAGGCATTGCCCACAGTACAGCCATGGGAGCCCACCCCGAAGCAGCGAGGAAAAACATATTGCGAAGAGACAAGTGCTGCTCTTCAGAGAAGTATTGCTGGTCTTAGGATGCCAGGATTCAGAAGGCTGGGCAGTGTGGCTAGGCTGCCGAGATGACAGCATGGCATAACTGGTTTGAGCATCCTCTTGGGTGGCATTGCATGCCATTTGGCAGCAAAAGCATTGCTGACCACGAGCCTGACATGCAGTGCAGGGTCCCAGCCTGCTGCCAGCATATTGGTGGTGGTGCTGTGGTGCTCTCAGTCTGGGGACTCTCACCACTGGAGACAAGAGACAGTTAGAAGGAGAAGAGTAGTCCAGCAGCAGAGCCAAGAGGCAGCTGTCAGTAAGAGAAGGGATGGGAAGACACACTTGGAGAGGTTTGTGTGCAGCGGGTGGAAATACATGTTGCTGAGTACCAGCAGACCAGTATTACTTGGCAGAAACATCCTATAAGCATTTAAAAAGTTTTGTTAAGCTAGTAAACAAGCTAGTCCTTCTCTGCAAGCTTTGACAAGCTCTGAACTATTTTGATTTTCAAAAAGCTCAGCTGCAGGGCTGTTGTTTTTTGAAATAAACTTGGGATGTGCTGAAGTTTAGGCTTCAGGTGTGCTGAAGAAAAATCTTGCCACATCCAAAACAATTTATTGCAGAGCTGTTGCTGCAGCAGTGGGCCAGCAATGAGGCAAGGAAGGAGGAAGTCAAGGTGGGTGAGCAAGAGACTAAAGAAAGAATGAAAAGGAAAAGGCATTTAAAACAGACTGGAAAGAAAAAACTGTAGAAATTCAAACAGAAATAGAGTAGGAAGGGAGGAAGAAAGAGTCTAGATGCAAAAACTGAAGGATAAAAGGCAGCATTTATGGAAGAGCAGTATAGCTGTAGAGGGAAAATTATTTTGAAATATCATAATGTGGCTGGGAAAAAAAAGGAGTCATTGTGGCAAAAGGATAAGCCCATCTTGTCCTTTACAGTGCTGCATCTAGATAGGTCACATAGAAAAGAGAAAAGACAGATTCAGCAGAGGAGAGGAAGGAAGGAAATGAAGGTAGCCACATCTCAGTGTCCATGTTGCTGAAACCTTCAGCATGAGGAAGTGGTCCTTTAGAGTTGTTTGAAGCATGGAATTAAAAATATTGGTGGTGAAGGGCAAGGGCAGTTTTTTGGCAAGTGAAGTTCCCTCAGTGCAGGCATCATCCAGTGAACGAGATGCATTTTTTTTTGTCAAAACCCACAGTGAATTTGTGTGACAGAGTTCATAAGGAGTTGGTGTATACTCTGCATGCTGTTGGGAAGGACTGGGCAACTGGGTTACCATAAAAACTTACCAGTTTAAGCAAACTTTCACCAATGGTGACTGCTTCATAAACATTTAGTGATGCGCCTCAAAGAAGGTGTCCTAACTCAGCTTTCTTCTTCAAAAAGCAGGGGGAATGCAGTGTCACAAAGACAGCCTAACATTTCCCTATTTTATAGATGATACTTGCTTGGGTGGGATTTCTGGGGAAGGAGAGCAGATGCTAAACCAGCTGCTAAGAGCTGAACATGTAATTCCTGAAAAGTACAATGACAGTCTAGCCTGAGGCCTTCATTTGTCTAAAAGCAACCATCTGCAAAATATTTTTTAAGCAATAGGTTAGATGAAACTAGCTGTAAAATTTTCTCTTTAGTGCAAATAGCAAGGTCCATCAAAAGGACTTACAGTGCTGGCTCAAGGCGCTGGTAACTGTGTTTAGATCCCATTTCTGTCATGAATGTTCTCTTTGACCTTACACAAGTTACTGTATCAGTGTTTGTACATGGGTTAGACAATGGAGCACACTGTTGGTTCAGGACTACACGTGCTATTGCAGGCTAAAAAAGCAAAAGCAAAAAGATAAAGAGGCAAAGTTAAAATCATGAGAAATATTTTGGCAGCAGGTGGAGAAGGCTCATGAAGTTCTTTTTTGCTTGTGCTGGGGCTTTATGGAGACCTAAATAGAGGCAAGGTTGAGCTATGTCTTGCTTCTCAGTCCTTCTGCCACCTATACGATACCCCCATGGGGCTTATGGACCTGTTCCCTAGCTCACAGAAGTTGGTGAAAGACCATCTATTGCTCCAGCAGAGGCGGTTGGTGGAAGAAGTTGTAAATCCTACTATACCTATGGACAGATAAAAAAACAGAGTTATAGAATCATAGAATAGTTTGGGTTGGAAGGGACCTTCAAAGGTCATCTAGTCCACCCCCCCTGCAATAAGCAGGGACATCTTCCAATTAAATCAGGTATTATATTAGATAAATGAAGGAATGACTCATACCTACCTGCCTATCTGCTTACCTTCAGACTGTCTTGACTGTCTGAACAAAACAAAAGCAATATTAGCCATGTAATTTTAGAACTGATGATCACTGATTATTCATGTTTAGGGATAAATTTCAAGACCATAATGGAACCCACAGACGAGCTCATAGCAAATAATTACTTAACAGCTAGCAGTGTACTGAAAGTCACATCATTTATTCAGAGCCATGGCAAACCATGGCTCCTTAAAAAGTAAAGTATTTGCACAGGGATGGAAATAAGTCACAAATGCACTGAGATCAGCTTGCATTAAGAGAAGCAGTGTGAATAAGTATTGTAGCTCCTGTTTCATGAGCAGCTAAATGCATTTTGGTATTAACTCTGAGAAAGTTTGTTTATGCTATGTGTATCATCATGGTAGCTGTTTATGTCCACTTCAATCAGTCAGGAAGACTTCAAACAAAGTGTTAAAAAAAAAAAAAAAATCAGCACATAAATATGTTGTAGACACCAGAGATGCACAGGAAGTAGTATTGTAAAGGCTGGCTACAATATGAGCCAGGAAAAGATAGTTAATTCAATGACACATTTGGGTTTAGGACAGTATCTCAACCCTGGTAATGTAAGTTATGATAGAAATCATGACAACTGGACGTTGAGTATCAGAAAGAGGGCCATATCATGTGACAAATGGTCTCACTGGAATGCACTTCATCAGTGCACGCTCATTAGAAAGCCGTAGTCCTGTAAATGATGCCATCCACAGATGTGTGGCCAATCCCTAACATTAAGAAGGAGACAAATAGAAAAGAGAGGAAATGGCTTTCAGTCATTTTATAAGCTGTTTGTAAAGCAACGTATTAAGGTATGCGCATAGATTTGATTGATGTTTCATGTGTTAAAGCATTTCAGTTCACCTCTACAAGTCTGAAGGGAGCTTTGAATAAATGCCACTGGAAAAAAAGGAGACATTTAAGTTGAACAGAAATATGTTTTGTTGTATCTTATCTGGCTTTAATAACTATCAGGGGAAGTGAAGTTTGCTTTTCATTTAATGTTTATTGCTCACACAGAGATATACTTTGGAGAATAAGGTGCATGGCAGAGGTAGCATAACCCAGGAAGGTGGAAAATTTTTGTAAAGGTTTTTGTAAACACAACAGAACTCAGAGTCAATCACACGAAGAACCAGGGAAAGCTAGGTTTGTATAATCCTGCAAAACAGAATAAAAAGGCTTTTGTCTGTAAATACATGCAGCAGGTGGGAGGAAAGAGGGGAGCTATTTATATTAAAGAACAATTCTTGGCACAAACCTGGTCAGATGTACAGTGCCTAGGATTAAATGTGATCTGGGAATTAGAAAATTATGTTGACATTGCAGCAATGAGATTACAGACCCTATGTCCTGAGTGCATTCACCGAGGCTCTTGTTGCAATGTTGTTACTGAGTTCCATTTATACAACTATTAAGCATCTCTTTTGTGTGAAAAATTACAACATATTCTCCTTTACTCATGTCAGCTACTGACCGAATGAAAAATGAAATTTTCAATAATTCATAATGAATCCATCAATGAATAAAGCACCTAAGATGTACAAACCCCGAGTTGAATGAAACCTTTAAAATTCACTTATTGTCCTGAATATTCTTAGCAAAGGAGTAATGGTCATTACAGACTTTCTTTCTCCTGGAAAATAGTTGAACACTTATTCTTAGGCCAAATTTGCAATCATGGGGTTTTAATTAAACTGCTATGGACAGTAGTATCTAATTGCTGTAATTATGCAGCTAAAGGCTGAATCTTTAGATGTGGCGCTGGCAGTCCTGGTGCTTCCTCAGCATGTGTTTTACAGTAAGTGATGAAAATCTCACCGGTGAGGTAAATCTCACTGGCAGGACTGCTTGATTTGAAGGGAGCTTGTGAAAACTCTGTTTCTGGAGATACACAGAATTTGACAGGACAAGGTCCTGTGTCAGTGTCCTAACTGTGAGGTCTCTGCTTGAAGCAGAGGATTGGGCTAGAGATTTCCTGAGGTCCCTTGCCACCGAAACCTTTCAATGTCCCCAGCAAAGAGAAGCTCTGTCACAGAGACGTTCAGGTAAGCACTAGGACAAAAGGGAGCAGACCTGAGCTTAGAGGCAGGTGAAGAGACAATAGTATCTGGGAGATGAGTTAAAACTGCCCCGTGGGATGCATGAGGAGCACAGGCAGTCCCCTGAGATAAACCTCAGTGACAGAAAGGTCTGCAATGGCAGCACTCTCCTTCCTCCTTCGCTCCACCTGCAGCCAACAGGGCTGGTGGTGGCAGTGACTTAGTAAAGGGACTGGGTATGAGAGCATACCATTTTGGGCTCCCGATACAGGAAAGACCCTGGTGAGCTGCACTTTCAAGTCCTGTTCCCTAAGACACCAATCAAATAATCTGGAGCATTCTTAGAGTGCTCAGGTTTGTCCATCATGAAGACTAGGGTATACAATGTTCTCTCTCTGACCTCTGAAGTTTGCCTGCCTTCAAAATGGCACAATTTACCCTGGCTAATTGAGGGACTGACGTCACAGCTGCTGCTTTGAAAAAGAGGGTCTCAGCCTTGCTCTTCCTTTACTTTTGGCTTGGTAGAAGTGGGTGCTTCTGCCTTCCCACTCACGGGAGATCTGCCATCTGCCTGCCAACAGCGGCACCACCATTCCCCTGAGAATAATGGGAGGCCCTGTATCTGTTGAGGAGGAAATGAAAACAAAATGCCTCCATTAGAAGGGAGCTTTAAGTTCTGAGAAATGGTAGCGAAAATTCGTACTACCTTTTAAGGAAGAAAACCCATGAATTGCAGCAGTTCTAGTTAACAGCCTGAAAATGAGGGTAAGTATGTATGTGGTGCATGCATGAGAAATAAGGAAGAGGCCAATGAATAGGGGAAAGAGCATAGAAGGATATATGCTGGGGCTGCAAAAAATCAGCAGCAATCTGAGGTATGGATAAGGGACTAGTTACTCCATTTATTTTTACTGAATATTAGACTTTATTGAAGTCTAGAGAAGTCATGTATTTTCCTATTTAAAAGTGGAACTTTTTGTTTCAGCAAAATGATGTCAGGTTTTTAGTGAATCACTGAAGAGAGGTGATATTGGAGTTGGAAGAGGAGAGACAAAAAAACAAATGCATCTTTAAAGAAAACCATTTAATCTAAGCTGGAGCTGAAAGATCCATCTCAACTGGTTAAGATCTTTTAAACTATATAAAGATGAAGTTAGGTTTGTAATGACTGGATTGGGGGTCCATTATGACAACATAGCATTTGACGACTGCTTATTGCTGCGGCATTAATATTACTCAGTTGCAATTTCAATTCACTGTGCATGTCTTTAACTACGTATTGACAGGCATTATAGAAAATGAAATAAAAATCTTCCTGAAAGCACCAGGTACTGACAACTGTCAGAGGTGAAGTGCCAGCTCAGCTGAATCAACAGCCTTTCCTGATAGAAACATGACTAAGTGCTTAATACCCCAGTGCTCCTTGTGAATAATATTATTTGAATCAGGATGCCTGGCTTTTTGACTTTAAATTACTGAGAGTAAAAATTAAGTCAAAGGCCTGTGGTTGTGGTGTTGTATATGTATTTACAGACTATGTCTTTTTCTTCATATCAGGTCTTGGTTTTTGTTACTCTATTATACGTGGCCCTAGTAATGCAACAGTCCTTGCTGGTTTGGAAGCCCGGTTTAATTGCACAGTATCAGAAGGATGGGTAATTCTCATTTGGCTGTCCAACGGAAACCCCGTCCTCACTGTCATCAATTCTCAAGGAGCTGTTGAAACATCAGACCGCTTCACCTCTCAAAATTATACCAGTAACAATGGGTTTACCTCGGAGCTGATCATCCACAAAACCCAGCTGAGTGACTCTGGAAAAATTGAATGCAGCATCCAGCAAACTAGTGAGAATGGCTTTGCATTTCTTTCTGTTCAAGGTGCGTATAGCCACCAATAGAAAGCTATTTTATGGCAGAGGGTTTGGAACTAGGTGTTCTTAATGTCCTTTCCAACCCTAACTATTCTATGATTCCATGATTATACTGCACTTAAAGGAATCCTCTGATGAATTACTTGAATTACCCCTGTGAAGGAGTACATGCTCTCATTACCATCCATTACCTCCTGTCCTCCTTGTCTTGATTTTACTCCCAAAGCTGGTTTCAGACTCACATTCAGAGTGCCATTAACACAGATTATAACTGCCCTTATTTTTTCCTGTTGCATCTCTTTCTTACCTTTTTATTGGATTGCATTAAAGTCTCTGACGGCAGTCAGTCAAAAATTATCTTTTTGTCTAGAAACAGTATCAAGGCCAGGCTGGATAGAGCCTTGAATGACATGGTCTAGTGTGAGGTGTCTCTGCTTTTGGCAGAGTTGTTGGAACTAGCTGATCTTAAGGTCCTTTCCAACCCTAACCATTCTATAATTCTATGGTATGTATTACCCCATGCATATCTTTGTGCATGAACCATCTGCTGTCTTTAGGGCAGATCTGCCTTCTGCTTTCTGACGCAGGATTCAGTGTATCCAGCTTACCCGAGTTTGATTTAACAGTGTTTAGAAGTACAGCCCTTGAGACACAAAGTAATATTTTTCATATGATTGCTGCTGCAAGCTACCATTTCCAAGGAATAAAAATTTCCTATGTATCAAGCTCCTGCATACGAGACCCTTTGTCCTCTGAAGCATCACTAGTGACACAGCGCAGCCAGTAAAGCAAGCTCTAACCCCCAGACACTGTCCATTTGTCAAAGAAGTACTTCATGCAATGGCAGCATCTCATCATCTACTCATAAACCTTCCCTGATAAAAACTGAGCATACTTAAAACTTAGAGAGAAACACTGTTATTTCATTATGTTGTCCTTCAGCTTTTTATCTTTAGCCATCAGGATGGCTAAAAAGTATAATTTCCTGCCTTTTATTGGAAAGGTACTGAAAACTGAGCCTTGTGCTTTAGACACACTGGACAATGCGTCCGTGAAGTTGCAATTTTATCTGCATGTCTATATCATGCATATGGTATATCTGTGTTAATAATGTTTGGTTTTGACTTCATATCTGAAGGCATAGCTATTTCTGGGTAGCAAGATAAGATTTAAAGCTATCAGCAGGAAAGCAATGCAACTAAATATTCTGAAGGAACAAAACATCTTTTCCCTTCTGCAGTTAATGGATCTTTATTCATCAAAAATAGCACCTTAACAGTAAAAGAGAACAAAACAGTTGAAATTGTTTGTGAAGCCATAGGATGGGCTCCAGCTCCAGACATTACCTGGATGACAAATGACTCCTTCATTGATAAGTCGAGGTATGCTACCCAGCAAAGTCAAGGATCTAATGGCCTCCACAATGCCCTGAGCACCCTAACTTTGACTCCGACGGACACTGAGATTTTGACTTGTTTAGCTGACATAGAAGCACTCCCTAACCCTCAGAATGCATCTGTAACTCTTATTTTTGTCAATTCTACTTTAGGTAAGTGAACGTTTGTTGTATTTTGTCTATACAGTAGTGCCTGTACTGTACTGCCTATCCTATATTCAGAACTGCGCTTTTTGTTTTGTTTTGCTTTGTTTTATTTTGAACCCTTTTATTTGCAAATTAAATACTATGAGATGTGCAAAAGTAATAGAATTAAAACCCAGTAGTCACAACCTGATACATAGGTAGGGTTAAATTCACATCTGTGAGAGAATGATACAAGTCTAATGAACCACAGAGTCCAATTTTGGACTGAGCAAGACAAACAAAACAGTACATCTGCCACTGACTGGAGTCACTGCTAAGAAAACCAACCTTTGCTCCTTGACCAAGTAAACACCTAATGAATTTAGATCTTAAATATTCTTGATTAGGCCATGTCTGCTATATATTAACATAATTTGTTAGACCTCATTTACATAAAGCCAGACCCTCAGGCGAAATTCTTTTTCATGATATTCAATACCAGTTTTACCACTGACTTTGAAAAAAAAAACCCTGGATTTTACTCCCAGTGTCTGCACACAACCCAGAACAGATTTTGTACTAGCACTTCAGGTGCAAATAGAAAGTTCTCCGTATGAGCAATGACTGGATGTGATGGAGCTGTTGTAGTATGGTGATACTGTTCTCAGGGCTGCACTGAGCATAGCACCTAATTGCAGATGGTAGCATTTATATGTAAGAACTTCTATGCCGTATAGCTATCCCCAAGCTACTATAGGAAAGTCTTTGTATGTGGTGTGTTTACCCCTTAAAGAACAAGAATCAGAACAAGCTGGATTTTTGAGCCTTATCCCAAAGTCTGCTTAGATCAAAAAGCCATTGGGCCTGCTTTCCTTTTCCTGGCATAGTGTCTTTCACATCTTAGAGGAAGGTAAAAAATTTCCTGCAGTAACATTTGTGGAATTCTTTGGATGGTGCACTTGGTTACTTCTAATTGCCTTTTTATTTAAGAAAATTCAAGGATGCTATAATCCAAGCTTGTATGTTGGGCAAATATCTCAAGAACAGTTAACAAGACCTTTGATAACCCTAAATATTTTCACTAAGGTTGTCAGCATTTTCTGTAATGCTGCTGATCTTTGAACTCACTGACACCCTATGAAAATAAAATTCTTTAATCTAAAACATTCACAGTGCTTGGAGGTTCATCAGGAAAAGGGTGATTTTATCTTATCTGTGCAGCCAGTGTGTAACAAGGCAAGTGGGACTATCACTACAAATCTACCTCACAATCTAACAGAATCCTATGAAAAATGTTTTTCTTTGCCAAACCGTAACACAAGAAGAGCAAGTCTTTGTGGGTTAGCAGTGTTTAATGCAGACGAGGAAGACAATACCAAACCATCCTTATGAGCTTTTCTCTGTTGTGCCTAGCCAAATGTCTCAACTGTCAGGTGGAGGAATCTCAAGGCAAACTAAAATTGAAGCACTAATTACATGGCAGAGAGCTGAGGCTACTGGATACAGGCACACTGTCTCCTATGGTGTTGTAGTCCACACTTTTATTAGCCTTATCCTGTGGAACAGGAAATGCATAGATTATAGGGATTTTTTTTTTGCAATGGGTCTGTGAATCTCCAGCTTTCTTCTGTTCAGAGTGGGTACTCCAATCCATGTTTCTTTTTATGATGTGGTGGGCATCGTGAACGTCTATAATCATGCTGACATCTTCTCTTGATGAACTGATTCTTCTCCTGTAATGGGTAAACATGGCACATACAAAGACATTCTTATAGTGGATTGATGAGGGGTTTGATATAGAAGTTTTGACATATAAACAGGTGAGGAGGTTGAGTAACTGTGTCTTTTATTTTAAGTATGAGTCATTATTAACAAGCCTTTTTCAGAAGTACTTGCTTTGCAACACAATTGAAAAGGTCTTTTCACCATTCTTAACATGACTTTTTTGTAGTCACACTGATCCCAATTACTGACTAAGCAAAATAGAACTATCCTGAGGAAATTAATAAATTCGTCTGCCTACTCACTGCGAAATACTGAGGTATCCACCCTCAGTTTCCATAGCTACTCACTGTAAATCAGAGGACGAGAAAAACAGATGTCATGAAGCACAATTAGTGTATAATTAGGGATTGTATACGACCCTCTTTAATTTCTCTTTGGAAAAATCATTGTGCAGCAGCAGACACTCAAAATTTGTCAGGATATGAGAATATGAAGTCATGGCGTTTATGACAGAGGAAGCTATATAATGTGTATATTACACTTGAAATCGCAGAGCTTGTCTGACTTTTCATATACACACTCAGCCTTAGTTAGCTGTTGTCAGGAGAGAATATGAATAGCTTCAAACATCTAAGGAGTCCTTCCCAAAACTACTGTAATATCAATTTCAGCCTTCACTTAAAAGCTTGAGGATTCAAATTGCTCCATGGTCCTCACAAGAAATACCCATCCATTCACACACCATTGCAACCAAAAGTCAGCCCTCCTGAGCCAGCCATCTCTTGGTCAATGAATGTCCTACCTTCCTGCACCTCTAGACCAGTCTTAACCTCAGACCTTTTGACCGTTCCGTGCAAGATCATGCATTTTTATGTCAGTCACTCCTCCTCCAAAAGTCACCATACTCACAGTGGTGTTCAGCTGACCGCCAAATTTGGTAACTTCTATGGAATTGCCCCGGCAGATGCCTTCACAGATCTGTTATTGGGAAATGGGGTCCATGGCAGAGTCCCTTAGGAGGACCCAAGCTCTTTGGCTTCACTGTTGACTTCATGTGAACTTTGACCCATAGGAGATAGGGAATATGCCATGAACCTGATCTTCCTTTGCTTTTTAAGGTAGCCAGAAAGCTCCAAAATGTACAAGAAATAATGTGCAGCCTTTTCTGGTTTCTCATTTCTCTTTGGTCACCAGGATGTGCCAGTGAAAATCCTCTTTTCTGAAGATACTTAGCCTGAGTAAATTTTTGGGCAGCTTTGGGAGGGTCCAGAGGTCTGGTAGCAGCAGAGGATGGGCCCTATAGAATGAGGAAGTGGCTTTGTCCACACTAAGAACCTCATGTAATTTGGTATGGATTTTCTAATGGGGATGAAAAGGGTTTAATGCCCTCATTCTTTATTGCCCCTCTCTTGCAACCCTACTTGTGTGTTGAGCTGGCAGCTCCTGTATTGATGCCTGTTGGTCCCAGGTCCAGTTCCTTTCTGGATCCTCTAAAACTGGGGAAAAACTACAGCGCTGAAGTGCTGAGAGTGTTTGTGTTGTATGCTATCCTTGCTTCAGCTCAGTAGATCTTCTTGTGACATGTAACCTGAACCTGTCAGGGGGCAAAATACCTTGGGGTGGCAGCCAGCCTGGAGGTATGGGCCAGTACAGATGTGTTTAGCTCTTCCCTTCACACTAAGATTAAGCTTTCCCCAATAGCAAAGTAGCTGTCTTTCATATTTAAGGTAGCTTGAAATCCCAGTGGCATGCTTTATGGAACAAATTATGATAAAATATACATATTTGTTTCAGTATTTCTAGATAAAAATATTATGAATGAGTTTATCATCGTCATCACAATTGATAGCAGCCTACAGAATTAACTACTTTGCAAGGGAAATTTTGCAAGGGAATAGACCCAACACTGTGTAGTCATTCATCACCTAGATTGCTGCAGTACTTTTTCCAGAGGCTGTCAGCTAAATATGGCTATGCAGTCATTAACTGGGACCTTTAATGAGGAAATAACAAACATATACCCAGTGTGAGAGAATGGGCTTTGTCAAGTTTGGATGTGTCTCACACCTGTAATTTGGATTAGAAACTTGTTTCTAAACAACTGTCAAAATTATTTTGGGGCTGCTTTTCAAAAGGTAGCCAAATTTGGTTGCTTCTGAAATACTTGGTTGAAACAGAAGGGCAGGATGATGTGACAATCCCAAGACGGAATTCTTCAGGAAATTGTATCTACAGGCTAGGGATCTCCATCTGTACTAGTTACCTATGACTATTGCTGTGGTACGTCAGGAGAAACAGACACTTCAGAGCTGTTCATCTTACTGAAAGGGGCATATACACAGTTGACCAAATTAATTGTAACCCAAAGTACCCATTTTCTTTCCACTGCCAAGAGTAGCTAGGCAAGACACTTAGTATCTGCAGTATAGACATCTAAATGGAACCTTAACCCCTCTGCCCAACCCCAAATGTCTCCAAAGGATGCTGGGAGATCCAGCATATCTACAAAACAAAGTCTAGTTTGGAAGATTGCAATCCTGTGTTTTTCAGAAAAAAAGTAGCAGTGAGAAAAGCTGCAGTTGCAATAAAGATTTTGCATTTAGAAACATTTTAAATTCTTGGGCACCATCCATAAACGGCACAGAGGCCGTCATTTGGAGAACATAGGCTCCTTGTTAAATAATCAACAAGCAGTTAATAGCTGATCACAGAAAAGATAAATATGATGAAAAGGCTATTTTGAGGCTGTGAGAGTGTAATGTTTCTCCATTTAATTTAACAGAAAATTATTACAGTGAAGACAACAGAAGCACATGGGTTATTGTACTTGCAATTGTGCTTTCATTTCTTGGTATTGTTCTTCTGATCATTATTATCGTGGTTGTTGTACGCTGCTGCTGCATAAAGAAGAAAGGTAAGTGGTCTGTACATTATATACATCTTCACAGTTGGTCTATACATTAAAAAGTACCTTCAATGATATCTAGATCTCCTACTTGTGTCAGCTCTGGTGCTGTACAAAGACCTGTAAGCAGAAGTGTGAACAGACAGATCCTACTCTTAACCACAACCTGGTTAAGGTGCTCCTTACTTTCATAGAATCATCATAGAATTGTAGAATGGTTTGGGTTGGAAGGGACGTTAAAGCTCATCCAGTTCCAACCCCCTACCTTGGGCAGGGACGCCTTTCACTAGATCAGGTTGCTCAAAGCCCCATCCAACCTGGCCTTGAACGTTTCCAGGGACTGGGCAGCCACAACTTCTCTGGGCGAACTGCTCCAGTGCCTCACCACCCTCACAATGAAGAATTTCTTCCTAATAACCAATCTAAATATACCCTCTTTCAGTCTAAAGCTTTCTTATAGGCCCCCCTTTAGATAGGGGGCCTACAAGGTTAGGCTGCTAAAAGGTCTGGAGCCTTCTCTTCTCAAGGCTGAACAAGACCAACTCTCCAAAGCTCCAAAGTAATCAGTTTCAGCCATTCATATTAACTAGAAGTGGGATGTGTTTTTCAGGAGTACTTTAACTTTCAATGACATTTAGTTCCTCTGCTGAGGTTCTTTGTTGATGCAGACCTTCAGTGCTGTGTGCCTAATTTCCGATTTCTGCATAAGCTGTTCTACAGGGACGTTGCACAATTTTGTAAAGAGGGGAGAGATGCTGCTGTGGTAGCTGGAACACCATGCATGCTCTAAGAGGAGCTCTGCAGTAGGTCACAATTTAGTTTCCTGAATTTTAAACACTTTCTTTCTTTTTTTTTTTCTTTTCTTAGATTCTGCATATCAAAATGAAATCAGGTAAGCTGGATGATGCAGGAGAATTTTTCCTTTAACTGAACTCTTTCAGGCTGCCACAGGACGGTGAGAGGGATGTACCAGTTAACATGCCCCACTGTCCAGCACTCCCTGGACGCTCGGGTGCTGTCCTGCTGAATGACCTTGCCTATTCCTGTATGCACAGAAGGTGAAAGAGTGGGGGACAAACATGCAGGGAAAAGGACTGCCTTTAAGAGAGAATATCGAGGGCCACAGCTCGCAGCAGGTTGCAAGCTCTGGGTGAAAAGAATCAAAATCCTGGAAACAAACGCTACCTCTCCGATTCAGCAAGCGCAGAAATTACAAACCAAACACACTCCTACCGGTACTGACGGATAGAGCCAATTCTTGAAGATCGGCTATGTCCCCAGGTGCCCAGGGGAGGGCAGGGCGTGAGCTCTGCCTGCTCCTTGCTGCTGCCTGCAGCGAGCCGGGCGATTACCGGCGCCGCCACAGGAGGTCACTGCGGGCCCGGCAGCTCTGCTGGGCGGCCGCGGCGAAGAGGGGGGGAATCCCCGAGCTTCCAGTCAGAAGCGTTGCTGCAAGCTCATTGGGGTAGACTGGCAGGCAAATTAGACCTTCCCCTGCTCTTTTTGTTAGCGTTAGACTGATAAACATTAAACAAAGCTGCCCCGATGATGAGAGTCAACGCTTAATCAAACGTTTATGAAACACGCTGCTGGTACATTATTGCGTTGAGTTGGGAAACCTTAGAAATCATGTGCTGATGGTTATCAGCATTAAGGTCCTATTTATTGGCGCCAGTGTGGCTGTGACAGCAACGTCAGTGGGGTTATTTGAAATTATTTTTTCTAAGCTTCTAGGGACAATTGCAAATTCATATTCTGCTTATGCTTGTGGGGCTTTAACTCCCCGTCTCTTAATGAATTTACAAAACCTTACACCATGTTGCCTTGTACTGCAGGAATACCTAGCTTCATTAACAGCCTTTTGCAGGGAAATTTTGTGAAGGTCTGTTGACAGATTTCCATTTATAGAGCACTTTATTGATACAAAACAAAGTAAGGAGATTAGGGAAACACTATTTTCTCCTGATGAAATCATGCTAATTATGCCATGCCATGCTAGTAAACTTCCACATGATTTCTTAGTAATACTAGACTGACCATTTTACTAGGTGCAGTTATATGAATAGGGCAGGTCTAAACCATCAGGGAATGGTAGGCCAGAAACAGGTACAACTTGCATAAGAGTTTTGCTATGAATAAAGTCCTACAAAGCCTTTATGCTGGGATTCTGACTTGGTTCTGCCAAAAGCAGATGTGTTAACACTGCTAATGCAAAAACCAATTGAATATGCAGGGAAGTATCTGCCCCACAGTGGGGACTAGTGTGACTGGGTCTTTGTCCTTCCCAGAACCCTACCTCACTGATGTGTGCCTGCACAGTGCTTTCTTTCAGAAAACCTGAAAAGTTCCTCTTTTTCCCATTAATTTTAACCATGAGTTATTTCACTGACTTCATAAATGTTGCTTACACTTTGAAAGTTAAGCAAATGCTTAACCAAATACAAAAGCACTGGGGTGAGTCCAGGCTCTATGGCTCAGCTCTTAGAATACTTAGAAACTCAGTATTGACAGTTCTGCAAGGTTTTACCATGTGTAAATAATGACACTGAAACTACAGCAATTATTTACAATAACTTACAGATTTTGTAGGTTAGGTGTTGGTGGTTATTTTTCTTCTTGGGGAGAACTTACCTGCAGTAGAATGATGATTCTGTTTTGGAAGCTGTGTAGTAGTAATGAAGAAGTGGTGAGACTAAAGAACATTGTTTTACTTCCAACATTTATTTTTGACTTGGCTTGCTATGTTTCTGTAACTCCTACACTTTTTTTTGTAGCTGTTTTCGATTTGGTTACTACACTGACTTTGTTGAGATCTAAGGATCAGATAAAATAGACAGTACAGTATCATGTAGCATGTGGAGATGATATTCCTAAACAACTGTTCTTGTCTTCTAGCAACCATGAGAGGTTTCTTAGTGGTATCTAACATATTTATCTCCTAAAAAAGCCACTGATGAACCTGGCTCATCAGATCCATATGTGCATCAGTAATGCTTATCTGAAAATCTGTGGGCCTGCAAATTCCTACTAAACATAAGAAAGCAAATGCAGCAGTTTCCACAAATATTGCTAACCAAGAATATTTTCCGCTTCCCCTACAAATCCCTGGGTTGTCAGAATCATGTGTCATTTTATGCTTGCCACACCAGAAACTGAAGCAGAGATGGACCTGGGACTATCCTGAAGAGAAGTCTGTGGTCAGAACAGATGAATAGTACATCTCTTCTAGCATAAAAGTTTTGAGTAAAAAGGCACTTTTTTTTCCTCACTGTGCAGCTATGAAGGTGAAAATTAACTTTGGAGTGTACAGATGAATCACTTGGGAGCTAACTGTGGTGATGTGAGATAACATGCTTTGTTTTGGCAATTGAGGGGGACTCAAATCACCAAAATGATGAGCTGTCACAGGTGACCTAGCTGGTATGCCATTATTGAGCCACTGAATATGCTGTAATTTAGAATGAGAAATCAGAATTAATTTTCTACAGAACCTGTGATTTGGAACAGAGTCTTCAGTCTTTGAAGATTGCTCACTTTATTTTCCTGTTTTCTGATAATGATGGAACTTTCTAAATGGAATTTCACAATAAGGCAATACTTATATGGGACAAGATTTTACTAGCTAATTACTTGGAAGGCCCAGATATACTTTGCACCTATTTTTCCTGAAGTAAAGCATATACTTTTTTCTCTGTAACCTACTACCCAGGAGTTCTCGTATCATAATGAAGTTCTAATCACAGGCCTTTTTGTTTCTAGAAAAGTTTCATCTGAGAAGAACAAACATGGTGATTTGCAAAACAGGCAAAGGCATGGTAGTGAAAATCAGGGATATATTCCAGAAGAACTGTGGAACACAGAACAAAGCCCAGGTGAATATAAGCTGGTGAATCACATATTGTCAAGCTGCTTCTCAGTATAGGCATTTTGGACAACATTTCAAGCAATTACAAGATTCCATAATACTTTGTGAAGGACTTGTGCTTAGTCTGAACGTTTCAGATTTTCTAGAGTATGGTCCTTCAAAATTATTGAGAAAATATGAAAGTTCATTGCAGTTGAGTTTAGTTTTAGTTCTGGGTTTGTTTTTTAAATGTCTTTATTCTTCAAAATATCTCCTGGGGCCAGAGGTAGGAGTACTGGATTCCCATACGGTAGTTAAGTTTAGGCAGTATTTTATAGTTGGTCTGTAAAAACAAAAATCCACGACCGCAAACAAAAAAAGAATACAAACAAAAAAAACACCCTCACCCCCATTCCCCCCAAAAAAAGAAGGAAATGAAAAAAGGCAGTTAGTGAACTCTGATTTTACTGATAAATGACTAAGGCATTATAAATTCTAGTCCTTAAGTACAAAGAGTCTTCAAAAGCGAATGTAAATCTCCACTAAATTGTTACCCACCACTTGCCTTTATAACCATGCTATTATCAAAACGTTTAATCAAACACTTAATGACATAAAATTATTGTGCAGAGTCTATAATCCAGGCATACATCCTTTTCTCTCTGGCAAATAAATTGTGAAGAATTAAGTACAGTGGAGAGATTTCAGGAGCATGTAGTATTGTAAAATGTAACAGTTATAAAAAATATTAAAGGAAAACTAAATAGACCTGGACAAACCGATTCCACTGGGTCCTAGATGGGCTCCTTTCATAGTCATTAGTGTGCTGGGTGGACCTTGGCTGGCCACCAAGTGCTCAACAAGTTGCTTTATCAGTCCCCCTTCCCAGCAGGACAGGGGAATAAAACAGGATAGAAAAGTCAATATAAGGACAGGAAAACAACTTGCCAATTGCTGTCACAGGCAAAGCAGACTCCAGGAAGGTTAATTCAATTTATTGCCAATTAATAATAAGGTAGGACAGTGGGAAAGAAAAACAAACCTAAAAACACCTCCCCCACTCCCACTTCTTCCAAGGCTCAACTTCCCTCCTACCTCATTTACTTTGTCCCCACAAGTAGCACAGGAGGACATGGACTGGGGGCTGTGGTCAATCCAAAACACCCCATCTCTGCCACTTGTTCCTCCTCACACTCCTTCCATGCTCCAGCATGAGCTCTTCCCACAGATTGAAGTCCTTCACAGACTTGTCCAGTGTGGATCCTTACCCCGCAGGCTGCAGTTCTTCAAGAACTTTTCTAGTATGGGTCCTTTCCGTGATACAGTCCTTCAGGAATGGAGTGCTTGGGCATGGGTTCCCCATAGGGTCATAGTTCCAGACAGAAAATGTGTTCCTGCTTGTCTTCACAGACCACAGCTCCTGGCAGGAGTCTGCTCCAGTGTGGTCTCTCCACATGCTTTAGCTTCGCCCAGGGCAGGTCCCCCTGCTCTGGCATGGGGTCCTCCACAGACTGCAGGTGGTTATCTGCTCCATCATGGACCTCTGTGGTCTGCAGCGTGAGAGCCTGCCTCATCGTGGTCTTCTCCACGGGCTGCAGGAGAATCTTTGCTTTGGTACCTGGAACATGTCCTCTTCACTGACTTAGATGTCTGCAGGGTTATTTCTCTAACATTTTGTCACTCTTCTTTCACACCTCCTGTTGCCCAGTGTTTTTTTTTACCTGTTCTTAAACACAGAGGTGCCACCAGTGTTGATGATGGGTTCATCTTTGACCAGCAGCAGGACCATCTTGGAGCCAGCTGGAACTTGCTCTGTCAGACATGGGAGCAGCTTCTGATGTCTCCTCACAGAAGTCTCCCCTGCAAGCTCTCCACCACTAAAAAAACTTACTATGTTAGTCCAACAAGTTAGTTAGAGTTTGGCTCACAATATTTAATTATATTTAGCTGTATTTGTGAATGGCTTGTGTTTTGTGCCATGGTGGACACCGAATGATAATAATCTTGTATATATCCTTGTTACAGGAATTGCCTCTCTTCCTGCAGTATCTTCAAAGTTCACTGTCCCTGCTGCAGATTTACACATCAGTTCTTCACGAAAGGTAATTATAATGCTGATCTCTTGAACTTTTTTCTTTTTCAAACTGTGTATTATACTATATCCAAACAGATTTTGGGTGAAGGTAGACATTTATAAGTCAGTTGAAGATGCAATTGGATGAGTGGAATGTCTGTTCAGCATTCCTGAATGTTCAGTTTGTAAGTGAGGGTATTCGCCTCAGATTTAGATTGAATTTTGGGAAAGATGGGAGGTGAGGGAGAAACAGCCTTGACATTCAGAGTAACTCTGGCTTGGTTTTTGAGAATTCACATCTTGTGTATACTGTACATTAAACCATTATAATGTAGAGGTTTGCTTTGCTCTGAGAAGGTAATAATTCTAGACAGCTTTTATATAAGTGCCTTTGCCAAAGTCTACAGTGTTTTTGTTGTTCTCCCCAGTTGCCAGACTGGAGGAGATGTGGGTATAAGATGGACACACTGTTGAAGTTGAGGTTTGAGGTTCCTTTGCAAACAAAATCCAGTGCAGATACAGTAAATAAATATGGATTTTCTCTGGATCATTTCTTGATTGCATTTTCCGATTACACTTCCACATTGCAGAAGTTGATTCACTCAGGAGCTTTACACTGGCTTTAGAAACCTTTGGTATCTCAGAAGTAAATGATGGAAAGGAGAAAGTGCAGCTAATACTTAGTCCACCCTAGAGTTTTGTTCCCTTTCCACATGGCTAACAGGTAAAGAAGTAGAGCTCAGTGCTTATTCCTCTGCTTGTTCTCTTCTCAGCTACCTCTGTTCTGGAAGATGGTGCTGGGCTCACTTAGCTTCTAATTAAGAAGCTATTCTAATATAGATCTTAATTTATGCCCTATATTTGTAAAATGCTTGTAGCACCTTCATGGTGGTTTTTGCCAATTTTTCTTGGAAAGTGGCAATGATGTGGTACTGAGTTCACTCCTCAACACAGTGATAACTCATTTGTATTTGAAGAGCTGTTTCAACATGTACAATGCAGAAATCTGTCTTGGGATGACATGGCATATAAATCGTAGCAGAGCATGTCTAGTTCTTTTGGCACACAATGAAATTTAGGAAGTACTCAGTCAATGATTAAAACAATGATCAAAATAATAACAGTAACAATAATAGCAATGTTACTGATGTATTTGTGGCTGGTGGTTATTATAGTTGACACTAATTACCTGTCAAAAAAACACTATTAAAGCAAAGCTGAAAAGCATGTACAGAACAGGTTCAGTGTGGATCTGTAATGCTGAGCAATAGTTTGAGACAGTGCTTGATGTGCTTATGAACAGGATTATAAGGCACTGGCTATGTTTACATGTGCAAGGCATATGGCACATTATGGTCTGCTCTGAGAAACAAAAGAGCTTTTGCTGAGGACCCTGTATCCACCATATACGCGTTTCAGGGGGACGCAATAACTTCAGTTAGCCTTGCCTGTTTCCCAGTGACTGGCTTCTCATTGGTGGTTGATGTGCTGTGAATTAAGCTATCTGGTGTCATCTCAAAGGTAGCCAAATCGAGTGCTCTCAGACAGCTTCACAGTGAGAACTGTAGTGTTGTGAGTCAGGACCAACAGGAGACTGTGTTCACAAGCATTGAGTTAATGCTCCTGATTCAAGCTGAAATGTGAATGTAGGTGCAGCACTCTATGTTAAATACTAGTTTAGATGGCCTAGGAGGTCTCGCAACCCAGTGACTAGGGAACACAGAAACAGGCACGAAGCATAAAGTTGAGCTGTTTCTGTTAAACCAGTTGTCCCTGGTAGTGTTCAAGGTCAGGCTGGATGGGGCTTTGAGCACCCTGGTCTAGTGGAAGGTGCCCCTGCCTGTGGCAGGGGGGCTGGAACTAGATGATTTTTAAGATCCCTTCCAAATAAAACCATGCTATGAGTCTATGATAATACTTGGTATAAGTAAGTCTGTTGTGGTGGCTTCTAGCTGCAACACTAACTGCATACGCATTTTTGAAAAGAGATAATCTAGAGGTGAACATTATTTATAACTGTTTTCCATATGTTGGAGGAAGATTTAGCAATGTACAAATGGCTTGTGAAGGCAACCCATTTCTCAGTTTGAATAGGACTTTGCAGTATATTGTGATGGCCCTATCTTGTGTATGCAGAAGCTGATAAAATTTGACAAATTGCATTAAATCGTGAATTTGCAGTCCATAACTTATATTTATAGCAGTACATACAAACATAGTAAAACATTTCCCAGAAAAACTTTCATAATCTTCCTTGTTAATAATAATAAAGGTTTTCTGACAAAAAGTGTTACTGGATTCATTCTAATAAAGTTTAATCACCACTTTTGCCAATGTACTGCATACTAAACATTATGGTGCCCTTTTTTTATAAATATTTCTTGTCAAGTAGGAGAAATCAAATGGCAAGCCATTTAACTGTTTGCTGATTAATGCTGAATCAAACAATTTCTTCAGAAACCACCTGCCTTCCTGCCACTGCATTTTCTAAATACAAAGAGCTGTGTTTCTCAGGTGACTTTTCTTGTGTGGAGACTGGAAATGTTCCCAAAGGTATTCCATTATTTACTTTTCTGGACTGTTTAATGAGAAATAGGGGGTAGAAAACAGGAGAAGTTAGAGAGAAGAGAATTTTATTTTTTCCATAGTGAAGGAGGTCATAAAGGGGTAGACTCCAGCAAATTGCCTCTCTCTCCCTGGATAATCACAAAAAATTAGCAAATGTCCTTGCAGTGCTTCTATGGAAGTCGAGAAGAAGGAGTGGAGAATCCAAATCCTCCCTCAGGAGCATGGGGGAAGAAACAAGAAACCCATCTACTTATGGAAAGAGTCACAGAGACTGGAGACCTAAAGCCTTGGCTCTCCACCTGCAAAGTGAAAAAATCTAATATTTCTGTGGTTGGCTTCCCTGTCACCTTATAGGATCAGGATTAACCACAACAGCAAGGCCAGAAAATAAGTTTATGTGGGCAAAGTCTGAATGGACAGTTCTAAAATTAGAAGCAGCTCATAGAATTGGAGATGAGATGAAAAGCAGGGCTATCACAGTGAATCAAGTTAGTATTTTGACTGAACAGAGGTGATCATACCTGCTGCACAGCCCATTTCTCCCACCCCCAAGAGAAAACTGGGTGGAAAATTTCAGCACAGGGCAGAGGCATTAAGCATTCTTCCTGAGTCTCTGAAGGCATCAGCTTCAAATTTTATCCTTTCTGTTCTGTATGTAAAAAGTTATATTTTCAAATGATTTCAGAGATTAGCGGAGACTTGGTGTCGCAGTGTTTGTTTCCTGTACCTGGACACAACCAGGTACAGAGCTGAAAAACCTGGTGGGTGTCACTGTAAAAGGTGACAATAGAAAATTGCTTAGGTCAGCTACTGGAGTTCAAACTCTTTGAATCAGAAACTAATATAAAATGTTCATGGAAGATAAATGTTGCCCAGCACTTGCACTGATCAATTCACAATGTGAACAAAAGATTTGGCAAATAATCTTAGGGAAAAGTAATAGCTGAGCGAAGAAGAAGGGAGAAAAAAAGAGGCATGTGACACATTTAAAAAATGATGACTATCGAACTGAATTATTGAGCTGAGGAAAAAATTACCAGCCACTAGAAGAGGAGGCCAGGAGCATCAGTCAGGGGTGCTGGAAGGTCTTCATTCTGATTGCATTAGCCAAGAAAAGGTCAAATGGAAAGTAGAATTACAGGCTTCTGTTTAATTGCATATTTTGTTACTGTCAGTGATGGGAGGAGCAATCCTTGCTGCTACTCCCAGGGTTGAGCTGCAGGCCAAGCGGGTATTAGGGACCAAGGTCTCATCCAAGAGCCCATTTTTCATGCCCTGACCCAGTGCGCAGAGCTACTTCCACAACCCAAGCGCAATGGTGGGGATCCCTTGTCTTGTCTCTAGCAGGTTTTGGGGCAGTCCCACAGACAGTTTAGCCTGAACAAGGGCCATAGGGTCAGTTCTGCCAGGTCCTGAGTGACATCTCTGAGGAACAGCATTTTTTTCAAGTCCCACTGGTACAAAAAGAGCTGTAAGGACTGGACAGACTTCTGTACAAGCTTCATAATTATTCCATTTAATATGCCATAAGTGTCTCTGTGGTAGATTAGAAAACCATTTCCTAAAAGGGACTGAGTGCTCCCTTATAGTGGGCCACATTCATCCCTGGTGAAATTCACCTGACTTCAGCAGAGCTACAGGAGGCTTGCACTTGCCACCACAGCTGCACTCCTCCTCTCCAGTCCAGAGTGAGTCACGGCTCTGTTAATGGGGAAGGATCTATTTTTCTTCTTAAATACTACAAATGACACTCTATAAACTGGAAATATTATTTAGTGGTGGTTGTGGTTTTATACTGGGCAGGAAATAAATGATGAATTGCAGCTCCATTTATTGCACTGAATATAACTGCTCTGACTCTGAGGATTGTTTGAAAAGAAAAATTAAGCAATCAAAATCGAATTAAAAGGTCAATAAATAGAAATATAAACCAATGATGGCAAATAATTTTGCCTCTACTGGTGAAATGTACTATACAGTATGTCATGTTATGGTATTCATTGGTCAGCATATCTTGATTAAGAGAGTAATAAATATTGATGATATAGAAAAGAAAGGTGCAGTTTATAGTGTAATTTTCCCAAATGTCTGAAAGAAGGGGAGGAGTGACGCTATGTGGGTGGGATTAACCCATGAAGAACTGAGAAGGAATTTCCAGGCTGTATGTGTATTGATGGACAGGGAAATGTGCTGCGTGTATGAAAAGTTGCCGGGATGGAACTGGTTTGCTATTTGAAGTGATAGTGTATCTGAATTATTTTGAGGGTATCCAGGACTTTTGGGTGGGTGTTTTCCTGTAAATGAAGTGAATTTGGAATGAGAATTAAAAGCTGAGAGCAGGGGGAAATATAACCTTCAGAAACAGGAAGCTGTACCTCCCTGATTTTTGTTCTAACAGGCAAATGTGTGATGCATGCAGACATTTTTGGAAGTACTTCTACCACATCAATTTCAGCAATTTGTTTTAATGTAGTTGGGCTTGGAGGTTTGTTTTTTTTTTTTGGCTGGCTAATAGCAGGCAAATCCTTCAGTTTATCACACATTTCCACAGCGTCAGCGTCTGAGGAGCTGCCATCTGTCAAATTAATGTAAAGATCAGAACCCTGTTTCATAATGCCAGATGTGTGTTCATCATTCATATCACTGATATCATATGGGTTGCAGAAATGACTACAACATACTTGTAATAGCAGAAGTCCTTCTTTCATTGACTGAAGACTGAAGTGTATTCAAAACATCACTGAAGGGTTCAACTCCGAAATCAGCTGATACACACACTCATTTTACATTCTGATTCATCCATATATTGCTAGCTGTCTGTTTGTCTGGCTGAGCAGCTGGAAGAGGTGGAAAGATTTGGGCAGCTGTTTAACCAACCAAACCAACAAACTGTGCAAAGCTTTTCCCATTATAATAGTCCTTTTTATAGTAATCCCTATGAAAAGTGATGGTAAGTCAACAGGCAGGCTTTGAAACCTGTGACTTCCAAATAGCTGTGGTTAACTAGATGCCAGGCTGACAGTACAAAGAGACTTAAAGCCATGTAAAAGAAATGCTGATGGTACTGCATCCTTACTGGTAGAAGGGACCACCTTAGGAACTCGCTCCTGTAATGCTGGGCTGTGCAGCTAACCACTAGAGCTGTCATTTTTTCTGTTCAATATGTAGGATGTAATGATTAATGAAACCATTTTTTCTCAGACTGGGACTGACAAGACTAATAGAGCACTGAATATGAAGAAGAAACAATTTTGAAATCAAAACCAAGCAAAGGCTCTAGCAGTTGTGGCATATCAGGTTCTAAATGCGAAATGGTTCTTGTGGTCTTACTCCTCTGCATTTTGTATTTATAATGTGTTGTATGAGAACTTCTACAGCACCGGAAAATGAGTTTTAGGTCACTGAGCAGCAGCCAGCAGCCTCCATTTCAGTGAAGTTATATCCAATGAACTTAAACCTCAGTAAGGCTATGCTATTTCAAAGAAAGCTCCACTGAAAATGGGCCAGTACACAGCATGAGTTGACTGAAATTCATGAAATTATTCATTAATTGATATCAGAGCACAGTGAGAATAAAATATAAGTAACCTATAGTTTTTGCTCTAGAGCAAATAACAGCAGGGCAAAGGCAAACCATCGTGGGCACAGTCCCTAGCCCAGGAGCAAACCTGCTGTTTGGTTTCTGCTTCTGTGGTGAGGAGAAATGACAAGGCAAGGCAGGGGCTGGGTGGCTTACACTTGCAGATGAGATTTTTCAAGCAAAAGAGGCATGCTTGGGTTACATTTTCCCCAGTGCTCTCAGGGCAGCCTAGATTCAGCTGGTGCAAGTCCTCTGACTCCCTCCTGTTCAAAATCACATGCAAACCGAAAGTTTCTGCTCTACTGCCTACTAATGGCCCTAGCCTCTGCCTCTTTTGGTATTACTTGAACCTCCTGATTAATATCTTTGTTCTTTAGCAAATCTGGATGCAATACAGTATTTTCACGCAAAAAGTTCTGGGAAATATTTCCACCCCAGTATTTTGCTAAACATGAGATTCAAATAATGAACTATTTCAGGAAGTTTCAGAAACAGAGTTCAGTGAGGTGCTTTTGGACCCCCTCTGAAACTTTCTGGCTACTCAGTATGCTGGCTAGTTCAGTATACTATATGCTGAAAGGACAGTCCACAGTATCTGAAAGCACTTGTTTTCCACATACATAATGCTTGCCTTCAGCATTGTTCAGATTGTTTTTTCCTTCCATTCTACTTGTAAGTTGGGTATTTTTGGGGGGAGCAGGAGTAGAGAGCTTCTCAAAACTTTGTCCTAGTGAGAAAGCCTGGTATAACAGACCTGTAATTGAAAGATCATGAAATTCCAAATAAATGTTCTGCCATAATGGAACAAATCTTATCACATATTAATCTCCAGGGTAACTCAGAGCAGAGGAAACTTCTGATGTGTACTGGAAATAAATGAAAGATGTCTCTGTTGAGCATCAATAAGGTCTTTGGGCTGAACTGCAAGAAATTAAGTGCAGCAGAGAGATCCTGGAAAAGGTCTCTTGAGCACAAACAGGCAATCTTGTTACTTCCCAGAGCCTATCTTCTCTGCAGAAATAAACAGTAAAGAAGGGTAAATTTAGAAAACAGCAGTATGTTCTAGCAATAAAAAGAGGTGGGGGAGGGGGAGAGTTGTATTTAAAACAGAAGGCAGCCGTCTTATGGAATGTTTCCAGCATAGTTATATTTATCCCATGCTTTTCCTTGAGGTGCTGGAACTCATTAACTACCAGAGACATGTTGTGCACATTTGTTATCTAACATTTTCCTCTATGGCTCATTCAATAATGTATATGTACCAAATACATTATTTAAGATGTTTAATGCTGGAAGAAGACCAAGGCAATACAGACTGTACATGATTAATGCTCCAGAAACAAAACACAAGAAGACTGGTCAATAGTTAGGAACCCGATTGGGCTTGATGAAAAATTCTACTGGGAGGATCTGAAATTTCCGTTCACTTCCAAGGCCTTGAGACCAAGTGGGGAAGTTGCAAGGAACAGTAGCCAGCAGATGATAAGATCTACTTGGAGGTAGATAAAACCAACACTGGAGCTGGCCACAGCAAACCCTTTGGTTGTCATGGTTCATTTAGGAAGCTATGCGAAGAGACTTCTTTAGAACTTTGGAAGAAATTTCCATCCCTTAGGGCTACTTTGTAATTATCTATGTGAAATCCCACTACTACATTTAAATATCCAAAATGTACGTTTCTTGGATGCATTTGAGAATGAATTTTTCTTTGTCTTTTCCCTTGCAATGATATTTCATAAAAGCACATAAGCAATTAGGACTGGAAATCCACTGCAGTGGTTGCAAATGAGGATAGTGATTTCAAAACTGCTAAGCATTTGCCCTGCACTGATCCCACTGGGGTCAACTTGAAAACAAGCTGCTGTTGGTGGAAGTGGAATCATGCCAATCATGGAAACTTTAAAAAAAGCTTGCCTTGAAAAAACACTGGGATACTGACAGAGGTCTTTCAGATACATGAAATACTGGTGTGCTTATTGTTGCAATTTCTAATGTATTTGGAAAGCCATGTCAAATGTTAAGTTTTTGTTACAGCTTAATGGGTAGTTTCTTTAAGAGAACCAGAGGAGAAATGTCCATCATGTTTTGCTTAAAAGAATGCAGACTGCAAAGTCCACGAAAAGTTTTCAGCAAAAGACCAGTTAATGAATTCCCAGAACTGCCAGCTGTGTGTTGCATGTGAAGCTTTTGTTCTGCTGTTCATTCTTTCCTTTGTATTTAGATTTTGAGTGAGCTGATGCTGATAGATTGCATTTTGGTGTAATATTTTGGGGTGAGGGTTTGGCAGGTGATCTCTTGAGGACCTTTGTGGGACTGCTTTTCTAGGATTTCTTCAACTTCCATAACTGCTTTTACTCTCCCATAGGTGGGATCTCAAAGACGTGCTGATTATCTGATCAGCCCAAAGAAAATTAGAAACATGACACTTGTTTAGGATGTACCTCTCCAGGGAACTTCTCCATCACTTTTATTTTGCACATTTGGATGGCTTCCTGCAACAAAGAAAGGTTAAGACTACTTCTCTCAGTTTAAGCTATAAGTTATTTTTCTATTTTTTCCTCATATAATGAATTAAAATTGCAACCTTTATAATGTAGCATGATATCTCAGCAAAATAATGGACATAAATGACAGCTTTAACTTCAGGCAATGATGGGACTGTACAAGAACAAGAATCTGTGCTTTGGATCCCAAGGAAATCAGCAAAACTCCTATCAGACAGAAATGTTTGATTATCCACAGCAAGATCAAGGACTGGAACTGCAAGACATTTCTTAGTTCAGAAGAACTGGTTAATAATAACACTGATTACTACAATATGTACTGCTTTTTTAATGTACTTTATGTACAGCTGGTCATCGTGAGCTTATAGATCAACAATATTTTTCAATTTCAGTTCTGTAATAAAATCAAGGGAAGTTTCATGAGAGCTGCTTCAAAATTTCTAACAAAAATATCTTTGGATCAGAAATTAAATTGTTTCATTTCAATATGTTATTTTGTTAAAGGCATTTGTCTTAAATCAAATGTTCTATTTTTAAATAAAAACCAATTACTTATGTATCCAAAAAAATCTGTTTTGATTGAAATGCAATATCTTAAGCTGAAAAATGTGGATTTGAAAATCCTGACTTTTAGTACTTGTTCCTTGAATGTTTTATGTCTCTGTTCTACTTGTGGGCTGAGCTTGGCAGCCAAGTGGCTTGGGTCATAGCAAATGGTGACTGCTGGACCAAATTGTTTCATCAGGGACAGAGCTGATAATGACCATGGGAAATACACTTTAGCTAGGCAACCTTCTCAGTAGAGCAGATCTAGCACATGGACCCTGTATGTTCCTTCCCAATCTAAAAATGTTTTGTTTGAAATTTTGTATATAATCATAAAAAAGTTCAGGCTTATGGGGTTTTTTACAAAAAGGCAAACTTCTTCCAGAAAAACAAGTTCTTTTCAGTGTGCTCAGCTTTCTACCCACTCAAAGCATTCTGAATTATTCAGTGTTCTGCATGTTAATCTTTTGTATGAACCAGTGCAGGTGCTCTTTGAGTGCTGGAAGAAGCTAGTACATAGAATTATTTTCAGTGATAATCTGTGCAGGAAAAAGGAAAAAACTGAAACCTAATCTCAGGAAGAAGAGGTTGTTTTGCATGTTTAGCATTTGGCATCTCATTAAACTGTAACAGATTTTGCACTGCTAGTTGTGTTTTCAGTCAGTCTGTCAGAGCAAGCGCTGAGACCCATTCACGGTCTCCCGTTTGCAATTGTACACAAAGCTGTTACAGATTCTGACTATCTACACTCTTTCTGTCCTTTTTGGTTAAGGAGGAGCTTTGAAATGCATTCCTATTGAATGCCATTATACCATCAGCACTATATGTAAGTAACTGTATGTTACACAGAGAAAATATAAGCAATTCACATTGTGAATTATCTGTGGATTTTTTTCTCTGAGCTAAGAGGCAGACTCTTGTGTCAGCAATATGGTGCCTTCCATGCTGGGGAGTCCCTGCTGAGATTTCCACGCTGTGCTACCTGGTGCTTGAGGCTCCTCAGAGGACACTGGAAGTGCTTCCCAAATCACCTTTCAGGCTGTGGCTGGGCAAAAACCACCTTCTGGTGCTGCTGGTGAATGAATGAGCTGACATGAAGCCCCCTCTCTGGTAACTCTCTGGGAACATCTTCCCTGCCAACAGCTCCAAGCTGTCAGTCGGATATCAGGGGCGTGCAGCCGGGTCACCCTCCAGCTGTTCATCTCACCTGAGCTGGAAGGTGCTCCAGCATGCCATGCTTACCCAGGAGCCACTTGCCAGCAGATGGTTGCCAGTGGACAACAATAGGAATGTGCAATGACTGCACATCCCACTGCTTGGAGCAAAGGCTTTTTGCACAGATAGGTACCACAACCATGGAAACGCACACATTTACCAGAGTCTGGAGCTATTTTTCTTCCTGCCAGCTACAAGAATGCATCCCACGCAGCTATGGTATACTCTTAACAGCATTAGCATGAGGTTAAAATTCCTATGGTGTCCTTGAAATTTATACTTGTGGGCATTTGTATGCTTCTTGATTTGTTTTCTTCAGACATGTTATACAGCCTGTGTATCATCGCCAGTACTAGCTGTTACTTATGTTTGCAAATAGTGTTTCACAAATAACAGTGCATAAAATACAGAGACAACTTTTAGCACACGGGGAATATAAAATATGCAGGTACTTTCAGGAGGCACAGTAGACTAAGAATATTGAATTTCAGGCACTTTATGGAGACATTAATCTTTTGTACACATGCATATTGATTTATAGTTATGACTTTAGTAATCTAGAAGTATCTAGTTTTTTACTGCTCACAGACTGTGCACAGTTGGATAGTACAAAACCCTTCCACGCTTCCTTACAAAATGTTCTGATTTGGATTCCGTACATGTGTACGTGGAAATAAATGCATTAGAGGTAAGCAGTATTTCATTCTACAGTAAGGTTTCCTAAAGTTGTCTCACCAGTTTAATATTTCATAGAACATTCAGACTACCTTTAGTAGAAAGCCACTTAAAAATAACACTGTCTTCATGTGGAGGTTTCTTTTTTACAATAAAAAAGCACCTCAGGTTTGTGTGGGCTGAGCAGAATCAACAGATGAACTCTCACCAAAGAGTACTCACAATATTGACTAAACATTTGGTTTCTTACAGATCTGATTGAGCAGAGCTGCTATTTTCAATATTTATTTGGTAGAATATATAATATGTGGTGCTGCTAACCTGCAATACACCATTCTTGAGTATTTGAATCTCCCAGTGACAGAGATCTGAACTGTTTGATTACTGGCCTCACTATCTCTTTCCTCAAAAAGATCGTGTGTGAGGCAGGAAGGACACAGCTTCCTACAAGCTTCTCCACCAGAAGCTCCCAGAAAACCAGAGGATGGACCCCTCAAAGCATTGCAGATAACTCATTACCCTTCCCTCTCCACCCAAATAATCTTACCCATCTAAATTGGGGCCCACCCCTAGCTCTCCCTTCCTGAATTTCTCTAAACTCCACAGCCGCATTCCCAGAAGTACAGTAAAATTAATCTGGTGTCCTCATAGTAACTGGGTAAGTAAAATTAAGCAATATCAATCAGTATAGACAGGAATGGTCCCAAGTGATCAAGCTATAATAAAAACAAACACCCCTAGCTACCAAAAGAACACTGCTCCAAACCTCCTTCTAAAGATGAGGTTGCAAATTGAAATTCAGAAAGCCACTTGCTATGGAGGAGCACGCTCTCGGTAAATGTGACTTTTATGATTAGACTCTCCTCCTACTCACCATGATCAACTGTTGTTCTCCAGCCTATAAACTACCTGTCTCTTCTTCCCTCTGGGTGACAAGCAGCTTCATTTAACTTTAACTTTCAAGTCTCTCACTTTCCTCCCTCTTTACCATCTTTTCTTCTCCACATCTACCAAATATCTTTTCTTTAAACAAAGGCCTAATTGATACATACATAATTAAGATCTGATCATTTGTTCTCAGCTTGTATTTAGCTCTGAAAATTGCTGCTTCTATTTCAGACCTGAATAAGGGCTTGCATACCTGAAGGTTTACGTAATTTCCAGCAATACCAGCTGATCCAATAAAACACACTGCCTCTACCTGCAGACTTTCTCTGGCCTATGTACACCCACTGATGGCTGTGTATTTCCATCACCCCATCCACTGGAACTTCAGGAGCACTATGTAAACCTCAACTGACCTTCCTGAACTGTTGTTGGGAGAAATGGAAGAAAGAAAGAGAAACCAAGTCAGATCCATACTAATGTGCCTGCATCAAACCTCCTCAGCCAGTAGAAGAGTTAGCCATGCTGTTGTGAAGGTGGCATTTGAGAGGAGCACTCTGTGTTGCTGCAGTCTGTTGTGCGGAATGAGGTTCCTGCCTTTTTCCCTGGGGAATTCAGTTTTCCCTTACCCATTCCTCACCCTGCTCTCTGTTCTTTAGGAGATGCAAGTTGATAAGAACGCCTTTACATTATCCTAGAAATCATGGATTATTTATGCTAGATAAGCACGGATAGTTATTTAAATGAATATGGATATTTGCTGGCACAGAGGAATGTTGCAATAGTCTATTTCTTTTCAGCTTAGAGAATTAATATCTTGGATCTTCAAGTGTCATTCACATTAGCTCTCATAGCAGAACTCACGTCACACAGATGTTATTTATATTGTTTATTTTCTACTGTGGTATGATCACTCCCTCAAATGAAGCTTATACTAAGTGCTTTTTTAAAAAATCATGTTCCAGTAAAACATTCTGTTTGTTTTTGTTATGTAGAAAGAATGCCAAAATCCAGGGAAAACAATACTGAGATGTTTGTATTAGAGAAGCCAACCAGATCCATCTCAGCTCTGCCTGCAGGCCATTAGCTTCCCATCACAAAAAGCCCAGGGACTGCTCTGACCTTGGATCAGCTCATCTGTACTATTGATCCCCGTAGTCCAAACGACTTTTCAGTTTGTGGTCTCAGCTCTGCTTGCTTGGCCATGTGTTCGTGCACCCCAGGCCACTTTCAAGCAGCATTGCTACCACCCCTTTAGACATACTATGAAAGAACAAAGGGAGGCTTACGGTTCAGATCTCCTGCCCCATAGTCTTTCAGAGATGGTGGCAGACTGTATTTTTAATTCCCAGCATAAGGTGCTATGAGCTGCCAGATGCTAGGACTGTTCCATACCACCCATCAGAGACACAGTTTAATTTAGATGTTACCCTACTGTCCTTCCAAAGGAGAGGCAACAAATCCCCCTTGATGAGGTGATACATTTACTTGATTTTACTACAGAGCCATAAAATTTGTTAAAATTAGCATTACGCGCTTTAGGTCTGTCTCAGTGCTTCTCTTGCATGTTGCAGCACCTATGCATAAACCAATAACCTTCATAATGATTGCTGGTCCACATCAAAAGAATGGTAAGGCAGCAATTCCTGCTTGCACATTGGCCTCACGTACTCTGCATTGCATTATTTTTTGTTATAGAGCAGTCAGGTACACTTGAATCATGCAAAATAGACACTGTTCTGTTAAAATACAAGCAAATTTAGCAGCCATTTTTGTGGAGATATGTGACTTGGAAATTTGCAAGGCTGCTGCCTGACCTCTGAAGATATCCTCATTAACATCTGCATCATCAGCCAAGCCCTTTGATGCTGCCTATCAGGAGATGGTACCTCAGCCTGAACTCAGAAAAGGCTTCAAATTTGATCACTGCTTCTCAAGTTTCCATTAGTGAAATGAACAACTTGAAGAGGACAAAGAGATGCAGTGTCTATGCTGAGCTATCAAAATTTTCTAGGGAAGAATCTGAGCCAGCAGAGGAACAGTTACTTTCGCCTACTCCTTTCATCCATTGACAGAGCAGGGGGCAAACACAGAGGAGTGACAAGAATGGGACTGCTGATCACCAGGAGTCCACACAGCCATGGTGGGGCAGTGTGATGCTCCCTAAGTGGACTAGAACAATATGCTTTGAAGAACAGCTGTAACTGCAACACAGGTTAAAATAAAATTAACCCTTTTCCCCCTAAAAGTATATATGATGGTTACATCATGGATTCTGTCATAGTGGGCTATAGCTGAATTGTGCAATGCTT